TCGATACTCTTGCAGTACTGTCTTCGTGCATATATTTTGGTATCCTCGTAATAACCTCATAGTATTACAATCAATAAATTAACGGTATTTCAAAATAGATACGCTCAAACAAACAACATTTTTTCTTCAACAGCATAGTACACAGTCAGTTAAAAGCGTTACAGAATGCAAGCAAACTCACATTGCCTAACTGTCTAACACAACCCTCAAAACAACACACAACATTAAGGTAGAAGCCTAGTCATAATTTTTGACAAAATCGGTCATAAATCGCATGACAACATTTATTAGTTTATTATGTACAATCATGAAGCTAATGTCTCATGGTACAATGAAATAGCATTATTTTGTGTGTTACAGTTATGCTTTTTGAGAAACGTGTCCTAATATTTCTTGAAAATTGTTATTTTTAGAACTCCATAGAACACAATGTTAAAAAAAAATTTCATTTTTTGACACTTTAAAACCCAGATTTTTTAAATATTTCAGAAAAACCAAGTACTCCATCATTAACAATATACGAGTTTTTCAGCCTATTTCACCAGATTACTTTTTGAGATATTGCATAATATCTCTGCCATAGGAACATGTAGTAAAAGTGTTATAATAGTGTCAAAATGGTGACTTTCCACTTAAATACAACCATCAATTTCTCAAAAATAAGGCTGGTTACCCCCAACTTTTTTTAAGTCAATATCCTTATATTGTCTTGTAGTACAATTTATTGCAAAATGAATAAATTCTGGGTTTTTCAATTTATGAGTAGGCTTCTACCTTAAAGACATCAACAACTCATTGTTCTCTAAATATTTATAGAGACAGATTACTTACTCACTTACTGACACTCCCACCTGTAAATCATGTTTTTCATAATTAAAATTACCAACTGACACATCCTGGCCATAAACTTCAAAGCTCAATATTTTGAGACTAGATGTAGGAAGTCTGAGCTGAATTGAAGTGCTATAAAATATTTTATTTTCACTTGGAATAAATTTTCGCTATTTCCGCTAAAGGAATGATTCAGTTAAAATTCAATTTAACGAATACACTTTTTTTCCTATATTTTACATTCAACTCGTCAAAAATCGGAGAAAATAAATTCCATACAAAACACTCAAAATGTCTTTTCCGCGAAAATTATTTCCAGCTAAAATAAAGTAGTTTACAGTAGTATCTACTTGACAATACAGCATTGCATTGTGAGAAATGAATACAGTAGAAAATATGTTGTTAAATAAATGCCAAATTTTGTTTCTATTTCTTTTGATTTTTTTTTTTTTTTTTTGAGTTTTTTTAAGCAGTTTCAGGATTCTGAGAGAGGAATGAGGTTTATTTTTAGCACAATGACTTTCAGATCTAAAAATAACCTTGGTTTTTTTGAACTTCTAATACTGTGGATAAATAATTTTCGCTGGAATTAATTTTCGCTGAAAAGGCTTTTTTGGCGTTTTGTATGGAATTTATTTTCACTGATTTTTGATGAGTTTAATGTGAAATATAGAAAAAAAAAGTATATTCGCTGGATTTTATTTTCACTGAATCATTCTTTCAGCGAAAATATATTCCAAGCGAAAATAAAGTATTCTACAGTATTGGTGGTACATTGTGAGTAGACTAACAATATACAGGTAATGTATTATAAATGATTCATGATATCTGATTTATTTAACGAGTCTAATAACTTTAATATGTTCCTAGCCTTTGCGAGGAACATAAAAAAATTACGACACAAGTCAACACATATTACACGGGAGAGTTATAGCCGAGAAAACAAAACTGCCCATCTATAAACTTTATCAAAATGAAAAATGGCATTTGCTGTTACCATTGAATTGCAATCAATTTTATTGTTGATTATTGATGGTTATTAGGTAATTTGTAATCAAAATTGGATAGCTTTGTAGAAATACCGTCTGTCTAGAATGTGGAGCGTCTGTCTAAAATGACAGGCAGACAGGTGTCTGGCTAAACACCTGTTACATTTTCCTGAATTTTGGTATTCTATTATCACATGTTTTCATATAGGGCTATTTCACAAACCAAAACTAACATCAGAATCCAAATTTGTTTATGTATCAGGGATCGAAATACCCTGGTGCACACTGCACTATGCACATAGATTATTAGCTAGTGCAAGTAAACTCAAAATATTATGTGGCAGTGTGCACTGTGCATGTAGAAATTAACATTTTCTCATTATATTCACTAATCCTAATTTAAGTTCAACCAACATTGTAAGACAACTTGAAAAAAAAAAAAATTCTTTCGTAATCGCATGAATCGATAACCCGTAAATTTTATTAAAACTTTAAAAGTGGTGCATTTCACAACAAGTTAGTGCAGGTAAATTTCAAATTCAACATGCACAATGTGCATGCAGGGAAAAAATTCTATTTCAATTCCTGTGCATGTCTTCTTGCATACAGGTAGCAGTTCTTGAAACATGCTTTGTTTTCAGTTTATCACCTGCATTTCAACGAATAATGTATTTTTTACACCATCATGGAAAT